TAGCAGCAGAAGAAGCAGCAACAACGGTAACAACAGCAACAGCAGCAACAGCAACAGCAGCAACAGCAACAGCAGCAACAGCAACAGCAGCAACAGCAGCAGCAACAACAGCAGCAGCAGCAACAGCAGCAGAGTTGAACATGTGAATACATACCTTAACAGAGCAAATTGCATATCATACTGTTCCTCACTCAGCAGCTGCTGGCAATGCTGCTGCTGCTGCTGCTGCAGTTTCTGCTGCTGCTGCTGCTGCTGCTTCTTAAGTTCCTGCTGCATGTACTGTGTCTCTCGCTGCTGCTGCACATACAGAGGAAGAGGCGCAGACCCCCAGCAGCAGCTGCAGCAGCAACGCTGTCCTCGGCCAAATCCCTTCATATATAGCAATGCCTGCAGCAGCAGCAACAGCAGCAGCAGCAACAGCAGCAGCAGCAACAGCAGCACATGCAACAGCACATGAAGCAACAGCAGCAGCAGCAGCAAACAAACTCCCCTCTGTTCATTCCCCTAAGAGGAAACAAACCAGCAGCAGCAACAGCAGCATGCTGCTGCTGCTGCTACTCCTCCTCCTCCTCTGCTACCCCCACTCCTGCTACTACTACTGCTGCTGCTGCTGCTGCTGTTGCTGCTGCTGCTGCTGCACTGCTTACCCTTTTTAGGTCCCTAGGTGCATCATAAGCCTGAGGAGGAGATCTTAATTCTTCTTTTATTAATAAAGGAGACAGCAGCAGCAAACCTGTCTCCTTCTCATACAGCAGCGCAGCAGCAAGCTCGCTACGCCAATCTAAGAAAGGGGCATCTGCTGCCCATAATTCTGCTGCTGCTGCTGCTGCTGTTGCTGTACATGATGATCCATCTCCTTCTTCTTCTCCTCCTGCTGTTGCTGTTGTTGCTGCTGCTTTTTTTGTTTGTTTTGGTGCTGCTGCTGCTGCGTCTGCTGCTGTTGCTGCTGTTGCTGCTGCTGCTTTTCTATTGGATGCATCTTGTGTCTCTCCTTCGGTGCAGCGCAGCTTACGGACACCAGCAGCAGCAGCAGCAGCAGCAGCAGGAGGGGGAGCACCTCCTAGCAGTCTATACACCCGACGAACTTCACGAGGAGGCTGCGGCAGTGCTGATGCCTGCAACGCGTCAGCATACAGCAGCTGAAGAACAGCAGCAGCAGCAGCAGCAGCAGCAGCAGCAGCAGCAGCAGCAGCAGCAGCAGCAGCACAAGCAGACGTAGCATACATACAAATGTTCTCTTGCTGCCGTTAGAAGACGACCCATGCAGCAGAAACAGCAGCAGCAGCACAAGAGCGTCATCAACAGCAAATGCAGCATTAGCAACAGCAGCAACAGCAACAGCAGCAGCAGCAGCAGCTAACCTGGCTGCCTAATGGTTGCTGCATGTGTGCAGCAACAGCTAAGGCCATATGCGGATAATAGGCCCCTTCCTTCAGCAGCAAATGTACAGACGCAAGACCCTGCAGCAGCAGCAGCAACAGCAGCAGCAGCAGCAGCAACAGGCCATCATTACCCTCGTCTCCCCTGCTGCAGCTACTGGTGCTGTTGTTGTATGGCTGCTGGTGTTGATGCTACCACTCTGCTGCTGCTGCTGCTACTGCTGTTGCTGTTGCTACTGCTGTTGCTGCTGTTGCTGCTGCTACTGCTGTTGCTGCTGCTGCTGCTGCTGCTGCTGCATGACTTACGTGTCCATTAGCAAGGAGGTGCAGCAGAGCAGCAAATCTGCGCAATTCGCCAGCAGCAGCAATTGCCTCCAATAAGGCCCTGCTGCTGCAGGATAAGAAGAGGTCCCTATTGCGCAGCAGCAGCTGCTGCTGCAGTTGCTGCTGCTGCTGCTGCAGCTGTGTAGCTAATTGTGCTCGTCGTAAGAAACTCAGCAGCAAAGGACGCCCCTCCTCTATTAACCACTGCAGCACGTGCTGCTGCCTCTGTCTCTCTACAGCAGCAGCAAAAGATGCACTAAAATCTTTGCTGCTGCTGCCTGCATGCAGCAGCTGCAGCTGCTGCTGCTGCTTAGGACTTGGCTCTAGCAGCAGCGCCACCAGCAGCCGCCATGTCTGCAGCATATAAGGAGACAGATAAGATACTTGTGAGTATCTCCTGCTGTCTCCTCCATCTCCTGCTGCTGCTGCTGCTTCTTCTTCTGCTGCTGCTGCATCACCAGCAGCAGCAGCAGCAGCAGCAGCAGCAGCAGGAGGAACCCATGGAGACATAGGGGGGAACACAGCAGCACCGCCGCTGCCCGAGTAGTAATCATTTTGCTGCTTAAAGAAATCCAACAGCCGCAGCAGCAACCTGCAGCAACAGCAGCAGCAGCAACAGCAACAGCAACAGCAGCAAACCTCATGCATGCATGCATGCAGAATTCCTCAATGAAACAGAGGCTGATTAGGGTTTAGGGTTTAGGGTTTAGTGTTGGGTTGTGGGGTTTAGGGTTTAACTATCCTCCTAAGAAGCAGCAGCAGCAGCAGCAACGGCAGCAGCAGCAACGGCAGCAGCAGCAACAGCAGCAGCAGCAGCAGCAAGCCTATGCAGTCCTTACCGGTCCTTAACGCTTCCAGACGTTTGCTGCTGCTGCTGCTGTTCCTCTTGCTGCTCGTCTTGCTGCATTAGATCTAGCAGCTGAGGAGACACTGTCTCCTCTGTCTCCTGCAGCAAATCAACAATAATGCCTACTGCAGCAGCAGCAGCATCAGCAGCAAGACCGCGGTGTACAGACACCCCAGACTTAAATAGATGCAGCAGCAAACCTTCCTTTAGATCGGAGACAGATTGTACCCCTTCCTCCTCAAGAATCTTGTTGCTGCTGTTGCTGCTGCTGCTGTTGCTGCTGTTGCTGCTGTTGCTGCTAGCAGCAACATAGTCTCTTGCTGCTGTCTCTACAGCTTCTTCTGCTGCTAATTCTGTTTCTGCATGCAACGCCTCAGGTCTTGGTACCTCCCCAGCTGTCCAAGGTGCTCCCGTGCTGCTGCTGCTGCTGTTGCTGTTGTTGCTGCATTGGTTTGCTGCTGCTGCTGCTGCAGCAGCAGCAGCAGAAATGGCATCTGCTGCTTCCTTAGCAAAAGGTTGCGGCCATACAAACCCTCGAGGGTTTGTTGACGGCTGCAGCAAAGGAGACAGCTGCAGCACAGACAGCTCATAGGCCCCACAGCTGTCTCCTGCTGCTGCTGCTGCTGTTGCTGCTGTTGCTGCTGCAGCAGATTCTTGTGGGGGTCTAAATACAGGGAGAGCAAGGAGACCATTAGGACCAAAGGCAGGAGCACAACGAACAGGGAAGGGAGGCCTTCGTAGCCAAGGAGTAGCAGCAGCAGCAAATGCACCTCCTGCAGCAGGAGCAGCAGGAGCAGCAGAAGGGTAGTCTTGTTTTGCTGCACCATCAATTGTATTAATTTGCTGTATCTCTGTTGCTGCTTTGTTTGTTTCTCTCTGCTGCAGTTGCTGCTGCTGTTTCTTGTGTACATCACCATCTGCTGCAGCACGAATAAACTGTAACCCCTGCTGTTGTTGCTGCTGCTGCTGCTGCTGCTGCTGCTGCTGATGTGCAACAGCAGCAAGAAGTGCCTGTGGGGCAGAACGAAGGATACGAGCCCTCTGTATATGCATAGATAATTCCTTAGGAGGTAATGAGCCAACAGGAGCAGCAGCAGCAAATGCAGCAACATTATCTGCTTCTGCATCATCTGTTGTATCCCCTCTTCCTCTTCCTCCTCCTCCTGCTGCTGCTGCTGTTGCTGCTGTTGCTGCTGCTGCTGCTCTCCCTCCATCTCCTCCTACCCCAACAACAACATCTACAGAACCAATAGTACAACCACCACCAGGACCATCAGGAGAATCAGGAGAATCAGGAGAATCAGGAGAATCAGGAGCAGCAGCAGCAGCTCGTCTCCTTTGTTCTTCTTGTTCTTTTTCTTCCTCTTCTTCTTCTTCTTCTTCTTGATTAAGAAAAGTATATACAGAGAAATGTTGGACCTCAAATGTCCAATTGAAATTAAAAAGATCAAAAGATATAAACTTACATCCAATCTTTTCTGTATATTTACGTACTTTTTCCCTATATTCAATTAGTTTCTTGTTAATATTATTATTGCTGCTGCTGCTGCTGATGCTGCTGCTGCTGCTGCTGCTAATGATGGTCGTGGTGCTGCTGGTGGGGTCGGTGATGGTCTCCTTTTCTATGAATTTAGGACGACAATTACATAATGTTATACGTGCCCTCTTATTTAATCCTTCACCTATTGGAGGTGCATCCTCTGCATATACACTTACCTGCAGCAGCAGCAGCAGCAGCAGCAGCAGCAGCAGCAGCAGCAATAGCAACAATATATAACAATCAACAATAGCAACAGCAGCAACAGCAGCAACAGCAGCAACTATAACAATTACAACAACCCTAAATCCATCATCATATAACCACAACAACAACAACAACAGCAGCAACACCACCATCAGCATCAGCAGCAGCAGCAGCAGCAGCAGGAGCAGGAGGAGCAGCAACAGGAGGAGGAGAATATATTTACCTCAAGATGATCAATATGTACAACATGATCAAGATTAATACCTCTTAGATCTGTATAACCAGGGAAAAGAATAGATCCAACACCTTTTTTTTGTATAAAAAAATCTTGTATATTTTTTATCTCTTCTTCTGTCATTTCTTTTAATGTCTCTATTGATGGTCTACATTCATATAAGGGATTTGTTAATATTGGTACTAATTCTATTGGGCATCGTTGTCTCCTGCTGCTGCTGCTGCTGCTGCTGCTGCTCATCGTACTCATTCTAGAGACTGGTGATAAGGGGGGGGGTATAGGGCCTACATTCATCATGCTGCTCCTGTTGCTGCTGCTGCTGCTGCTGCTGCTGCTGTTGCTGTTTGGTGCTGCTGTTAGGTCGTTCTGGGAACCTCGGAGAGATACTACTGCTTCTGTTGCTGCTGCTGCTGCTGCAGCTGCTGCTGCTGCAGCAACACGACCAATTATCTCGCCGCTACTACCAGAAACACCATCATTATTATCCTTTGTATCCTCATGCTGCTGCTGATGCTGCTGCTGCTGTTGCTGCTGCTGCTGGGAGCCATCGTCTCGTGTCTCCTGCTGCTGCTGCTGCTGCAGTGCATCCTCATCCTCTATACGAGGACGATTAGGGGGGGGGCCTCCTCCTGATTCCTGCAACCGCTGCAGCAGCTCATAGTCCCTAGTAGATAGAGGCAGCAGTTGCTGCTGCTGCTGCTGTTGTTGCTGCTGCTGCTGTTGTTGTGCTGCAGACAGAGATCTGTGGATTGTCTGAGCAAGCCAGCCATTGCGTCTGCTGCTGCTGCTGCTGTCAGCAGAAGATACATTAAGCAGCTGCAGCAGCTGCTGCTGCGGCACCAGAAACTGCTGCGGCAAAGAGAAAGAGGCACTCAGTCCTGCTGCTGCTGCTGCAGTAAGCGGCAGCTGCTGCAGCCCTCCTGCTGCTGCAGCAGCAGCACTATACCGTCTGTGTCTCCTTGTTAATTGAGGAAGAGGCAGAGGGGGGCCCCTAAAGGAGCAAGTGTCTCCAATGCTGCTAACTGGTTGCTGCTGCAGCATGGGGCCCCCCCCTGCTGCAGCAGATAACATAATCTGTACCGTTATCTGGGGGGCCCCCAGTACACCCCCTAACCCTAGTATGCTACTGCCAGCAGGGGCCCCTGAGGACAGCAGCAACTGTTGCTGCTGCTGCTGTTGCTGCTGCTGCGGTGTCTGTGTAGCACCCCCTAAGCCACCTAATCCAAATAAGCCACCAGATTGCTGCTGCTGCTGCTGCGGGTTGCTGCTGCTGCTGCTGCTGCCAAAGAGGCCCCCGCTGCTGCTAGTAGTAGACCCAAGACCACCAAAGAGGCCCCCTCCTGTTGCTGTTGTTGCTGGTTTGCTGCCGAGGCCCCCAAAGAGGCCCCCTCCTGCTGCAGTGTTGTTGCTGCTGCCTAGAGGTGCAGCAGCAGCACCAAATAGGCCCCCTCCTCCTGCTGCTGCTGTAGACCCTAATCCTCCTGCTGCTGTTGCTGTTGCTGGCTTAAGGGACCCAAAGAGGCCCCCACCGGTGCTGCTGCTGTTGCTGCTGTTGTTGCTGCTGCTGCTGCCAAACAGACCACCACCAGTAGCAGCAGCAGCACCTGCAGGCTTAGCACCAAATAAGCCACCACTTAATAGGCCTCCTCCTTGCTGCTGCTGCTGCTGCTGCTGCTGCGTGTTGCTGCTGCTGCCAAAGAGGCCCCCTCCTGTACCCCCTAGTCCTGTATTGGTTGTCCCTCCTGCTGCAGCACCAAACCCACCAAAGAGGCCCCCACTAGGCTGCTGCTGCTGCTGCTGCTGCTGCCCAAATAGGCCACCTGTTGTTGTGCTGCTGCTGCCTAATAAACCCCCGCTGCTGCTGCTAGGGTTTTGTGCTGCAGCACCAAATAGACCGCCGCTGCTGCCTGCTGCACCAAAGGTTCCTGTTGCTGCTGTTGCTGCTGGTGCTGCTGCTGGTCTACCAAATAGCCCCAGACCTGTATTAGCAGCACCTAATCCTGTGCTGCTGCTGCTGCTGCTGCCAAAGAGTCCCCCTCCTGCTGCTGGTGTTGCTGCTGTTGTATTGCTGCCAAATAATCCCCCTTGCTGCTGCTGCTGCGGTTGCTGCTGCTGCTGCGCTGCAGCACCAAATATTCCCCCTCCTGTACCAAAGCCTGTAGTTCCTGCTGCTGCACCAAACAATCCTCCTGTTGTATTTGCTGCTGCTGCTGGTTGCTGCTGCTGCTGCAGCAGACTGTTGCTGCTGCTGCCAAATAGGCCCCCTCCTCCAATACCCGTAGTTGCTGCTGCAGGGGCCCCAAAGAGTCCCCCTGTGGCCCCAGTGGTACCAGGAGCAGCGCCAGCAGCAGGAGCAGCAGCAGCAGCAAGTCCCCCTTGCTGCTGCTGCTGCTGCTGCTGCTGCTGCTGGTAATAAGTCCATCTTATTTCCTCTAGGGATATCTTCGCCAACTCCCCATGGCATATTGACATAACATTGCCATCCTCTGTATTATAAGGACGGAAGGGTTGCTGCAGCAGCAGCATAATTTGCTGCTGCTGCTGCTGCTGCTGAGGTGTAGCAGCAGCAGATAACGAGGATACACCAAACGGAGATGTAGACGATTGACCAACTAAGGCACACACACACACACAATGCATGCAGCAGCAGCAGCAGCAGTAGATGCAGCAGCAGCAGATGCAGCAGCAGCAGATGCAGCAGCAACAGATGCAGCAGCAGCAACAGCAACAGCAGCAACAGCAACAGCAACAGGAGACAGTAAATAAGGACTTACGTGCATTAGTACTATTGGAGACACCAAAGAGTCCCCCTGTTGCTGCTGTGTTGCTGCTGCTGCTGCTGCCGAATAGATTAGTGGTCTGCTGCTGCTGCTGCGGCTGTCCAAATAGTCCTGTAGATCCTGTTGTGCTGCTGCTGCCGAATAGACCAGTGGTCTGCTGCTGCTGCTGCGGCTGCTGCTGCCCAAAGGCTGTTGCTGCACCACCAAATAGAGATCCTGCTGCTGCTGGTGCTGCTGCTGCTGTGCTGCCAAATACACCAGTGGTCTGCTGCTGCTGCGGTTGACCAAATTTGTTGCTGCTGCTGCCAAATAGGCCTCCTGCTGCTGCTGGCTGCTGCTGCTGTCCAAACCCTGTTGCTGCTGCTGCTGCAGGTGTACTACCAAATAATACACCTTGCTGCTGCTGTGGCTGCTGCTGCTGCTGACCAAAGACACTACCACCACCAAATAAACTTCCTCCTGTTGCTGCTGCTGCACCCGTGTTAGCAGCACCACCACCAAAGAATCCTGTTGTCTGCTGCTGCTGCGGCTGCTGCTGCTGCTGCTGACCCCCAAAGAGGCCCCCTCCTGTACCCACAGAACTACCAAAGAGGCCCCCACCGCTAGGCTGCTGCTGCTGTCCAAACAGACCTGCAACACAGCAGCAGCAGCAGCAGCAGCAGCAACAGCAGCAACAGATATATTCATAACAGCAGCAGCAGGTGCAGCAGGTGCAGCAGCAACAGCAGCAGCAAGCAGCAACAGATGCAAGAAGCAGCACTTTCCTGCACAGAGAGTGCATGCAACAGTAAGCAAATAAGCTGATAATGTGTATACGCTGCTGCTGCTGCTGCTGTTGCTGCTGCTGCTGCTGAGGTCTACCTGCACCACCAACTGCAACACATCTCTATCGAGCAGAGAGTACGTCTCCCTCCCTAAACCCTAAACCCTAAACCCTAAACCCTAACCTGTGCCTAGAGAAGTTCCTGCGGGTTGTGTTTGTGCTGCAGCACCAAAGAGACTCCCTACAGCAGCAGGCTGCTGCTGCTGCTGCTGCGGCTGCTGCGATCCAAAGAGACTCTGCCCTGTTGCTGCTGCCCCAAAAGGGGACGTGCTGCCAAACATCTTCGATGCATGCAGCAGCAGCTGTTGCTGCTGCTGCTGCTGCTGCTGTTGCTGCTGCTGCTTCTGTTGGTGCTGCGCTGCTCCCTATGGAGATGCGGCTGCTGCTGCTGCTGCTGCAGCTGTTATGCTGCTGTTGTTGCTGCTGCTGCAGTGCTGCTGCTGCCGCTCAAGCTATACTTACGGGGCAACTCAACTGATACAAGGAAGCAGCAACAGATATACAAAACCCTAAACCCTAAACCCTAGAGCCCACCGCATGCATGCAAGGGAAAGAACAGGAGGGCAAGATGCTCCTCTATGCATGTGGTGTAGTAACCATTAAAGGGTTTAGGGTTTGGGGTTTTAGGGCCTGGCGCTGCTGCTGCTGCTGCTGCTGTTGCTGCTGTTGCTGCTGCTGCTGCTGCATGCTTTCTTCAAACCCTCACGATAAGAGTATCTCCCTCTAGGGAGATGCAGTTGCGGTGTATAGGCAGGTAAATATAGCAAAAAAGAGACAAAAAAGGAGTTAATTAATGCATGCAATTGGGGTGTATAGGCAGCTGTTGTTGGCCGCTGCAGCGTCAGATATATACACCGCGTGCATGCGGTGCGCCAGGAACAACAGCAGCAACAGCAGCTGCTGCAGCAGCCCCGTAAGTCCTTCTTGGTGTTATTATTCCTATTTATTATTTTTGTATATAAATAAATAAATTAATTAATTAATTAAATATAAATAAAAGATAAAAAGACACAAAAAGAGTATTTATACTCCCTTAGTTGCTGCCATCGTTGGGGAACAGCAGCAACAGCAGCAACACCAACCAGCAACAGCAACAACAGCAACAGCAACAACAACAGCAGCAGCAGCAGCACCAGCAGCAGCAGGGCTGTACAATCTTGATCTTTTTATGTATTTATTTATGGTGTATATACACATAATAATAATATTATATATTTTTTCTCCTTTTTATTCTCCTCTCTTTGTGTACACTCAATAAACCCTCGAGGGTTTAGGGTTTAGGGTTTAGGGTTTAGGGTTTAGGGTTTTCTCTAGTTGATATAGTTTGTGTATAGAGGTAAGATATAGGAGATGGATAATCTAATAAAGACACACATAAAGGACTAACGACTACTACTGCTGCTGCTGCTGCTGTTGCTGCTGTTGCTGCTGCTGCTGCTGCTGCTAGTGTTTGTTGTCTCCTCTTTTTTTAGCGATGGAGACCCTTTGTATAGCGCCTGTCTCCTTTAGTTAGTTCTCTCCTACACAACAACTGCTGCTGCTGTTGCTGCTGTTGCTGCTGCTGGCGATGCTGCAGCAGGAGACGCTGCAGCTTCGGAAGCAGGAGCAGCAGAAGCAGCAGAAGCAGCAGCAGCAACAGCAATTGCTGCTGTGTTGCTGCTGCAGCGCATAACACATAAAGAGGAGGAGACACATTTATAGCCAAAAGGAGACAAGGAGACACAACAACAGCAACTGCTGCTGTTGCTGTTGCTGCTACTGTTGCTGCTGCTACTGTTGCTGCTGCTACTGCTGCTACACTTGCTACAGCTGCTTCTGTTGTTGCTGTTGGGGGTCTGCACTGCATGCAAGTATCTGTGCTGCTGCTGCTGCTGTGTGGCAGCAGCAGCTGCTGGTGCTGCTGTTCCCTCTATTTGCTGCTAAAAGGAGACAAAAATAAATAAATAAAATAAATAAATAAATAAATAAATAAATAAATAAATAAATAAATAAATAAATAAATAAATAAATAAATAAATAATTTAATCTCCGTATAAATTAAAGAGACAAAAACAAAAGATATGCTGCAAACGGAGGAAACGGAGGGAGGAGACAGCAGCAGCAGCAGCAGCAGCAGCAGCAGCAGCAACTGCTGCCGCAGCAGCAGCAGAAACTGCAGCAGCTGCTGTAGCCACAGCTGCTGCAGCAGCAGCAGCAAGAGAGGAGGAGACAGGATACTTCCTTTTGTCTCCTTTCTCTTACAACTGTCTAATTAAGCTATGCACTAACGCCTGCAGCAGCTGCTGCTGCTGCGGCTGCTGCTGCTGCGGCTGCTGCTGCTGCGGCTATTGCTGCTGTTACTGCTGCTGTTACTGCAACTACCGCTACTGCAGCAGCTGCTGCTGTTGCTGCAGCAGTTACTGCTGCTGCTGCAACGTGCGCATGCATGTGCCTTGCATGCATCAAACGCATGCATACACACAGACACACGCTGCTGCTGCTAGTGCTGCTGCAGCTGCTGCAGCTGCTGCAGCTGCTGCAGTAGCTGCTGCTGCAGCTGCTGCAAGGTGTCTCCGTCTATGTACGGTTTACGGTTTGGCTATCAGGAGACACAACGTAACTTTAGCTGCTACTCTCTTTCCCCGCAGCAGCAGCACTTGCTCCTGCTGCTGCTGCTGTTGCTGCTGTTGTTGCTGTTGCTGCGGCACTGTCCTGCTGCTGATCCTTGGGAAGATCTGCAGCAGCTGCTGCTGCTGGCGCTGCTGGCGCTGCTCTTGCTGCCGCTGCTGCTCCTGCTGCTGCTGCATCTGCACCTTCAGCAGCAACTGCTGCTGCTGGTGCTTGCTGTTGCTGTGTAGTTAGGCCCCATGCTGCAGCAGCAGCTAAGCGTGGCTCCCGGCCCTGTATCATGTCTTGCTGCTGCTGCTGCTGTTGCTGCCGCTGCTGACGAGACTCGACAGCAGCTGCTGTCTCGCCATCTGCGCACTCCGCCGCTTGTCTAGCAGCAGCAGCAGCTGCTGCTGCTGCTGCTGCTGCAGCAGATGCTTGCCGCTGTTGTGCTGGATCTGTTATTGCTGCTGCTACTGCTCTTGCTGCTGCTGCTGCTGCACCGCCAGCTGTGTCATCAGCAGCAGACGCCACAGCAGCGGGTGCAGCAGCAGAAGACGCTGGCGCAGCAGCAGCAGCTGTAGCAGCAGGCGGCAATGCTGCTGCTGCTTTTGCCGCTGGCGCGCTTGCTGCTGCATCATTCGCAGCAGCAGCTGCAGCCGCAGCAGCAGCAGCAGCAGCAGATGGTGGCAATGCTAGAGATAGTGCTGCTGCTGCTGCTGCTGTTGCAAGAAGAGGAGACCCTTGGAGGGTAGAGTTAGGGGAACAGAGGAGACCCCCTACTGCTGCTGCTGCTGGTGCTGCTGCTCCTCCTTGTGCTGCTGCTGCTGCTGCTGGCAGCAGCTGAGACACAGCAGGAGCTGCAGCAGGACGCAGGAGACTCCCCGCAGGCGAGTGAGCAGCAGATAGTGTCCCTAGCTGCTGCTGCAGTGCAGCAGCAGCAGCTGCTGCTGCTGCAGCAGGATTCCCTGCTGTTGCAGCCCGCTGCAGCTGCTGCAGCGCCGTGCTGGTGCTGGTGCTGCTGCTGCTGCTGCTGCTGTTGTCGCTGCTTAGAGCGGCAAGGCGAGCAGCCATTTGCACACCGTCCTGCTGCTGCTGCTGTATCTGCTGCAGCTGCTGCTGGATTTGCTGCTGCCGCTGCTGCAGCACTTGCTGCTGCATCATCTGCTGCTGCAGCAGCCGCTGCTGCAGCAGCTGCGGAGGAAACTGCGCCGTCCCCGCTAGGCGGCCTTGCAGCTGCTGCTGCAGTTTGCTCTGCAGCTGCTGCAGTTGCTGCAGCTGCTGCAGTTGCTGCAGTTGCGCTTGCGGCGGCGGCTGTGCTTGCTGCTGCTCCTGGGTCTGCTGCTGCGCCTGCTGCTGGGCCTGCTGCTGTGCCTGCTGCTGCGCCTGTTGGTGAGCTTGCTGCTGCACCTGCTGCTGCGCCTGTTGCTGAGCCTGCTGCTGCGCCTGCTGCTGGGCCTGCTGCTGGGCCTGCTGCTGAGCCTGCTGTTGAGCCTGCTGCTGAGCCTGCTGCTGAGCCTGCTGCTGTGCCTGCTGCTGCTGCTGCTGCTGCTGCTGCTGCTGCTGAGCCTGCTGCTGCGCCTGTATGTGCTGCTGCTGTTGCTGCAACTGTTGCAGCTGCTGCTGCTGCAGCTGCAACTGCTGCTGCTGCTGCACTTTTACTTGCAAATGATGCAGCTGGAACTGCTGCAGCAGCTGCTGCTGCCGTGCCTGCAGCAGCTGCTGCACCGATGCAGCACTAATGCCTGCAGGTAGAGAGCCTCCTTGCTGCTGCTGCTGCTGCTGCTGCTGCTGCTGGGCCTGCTGCGCCTGCTGCTGCTGCGCCTGCTGCTGTATCTGCTGCAGCAGCTGCAGCTGCTGCGGCGTGTACTGTTGCGATGGCTGACTCAAGAGCTGCTGGATTCCTGCAGGTAGTTGACTCTGCTGCTGATGCTGCTGCTGCTGCTGCTGCTGTTGCTGTTGCTGCTGTTGCTGCCCTTGAACCGTCGCAGCCTGCAGGGAAGCAGCGCGCTGCTGCAGCAGCATCAGCTGCTGCTGCTGCGATGCTTGCTGCTGCAGCTGCTGATGACGCTGCTGCAAGAGGAGCTGCTGCTGCTGCAGCTGCTGATTAACTCCCTGTGTCTTGGATTGCTGCTGCTGATTTTGGATGTGCTGCTGCAGCAGCTGCTGCTGAAGCTGGTGCTGCAGCAGCTGCTGCTGCAGTGGTGCGTAAGCAGGGGGCCTTGATGGAGAGGGAGCCTGCTGCTGCTGGGCTGCGGAGCCATTGTTGTTGTTGCTGCTGCTGCTGCTACTGCTGCTGCTGCTGCTACTGCTGCTGCTGCTGCCACCGCCAGGAGAATGAACCGCTCCGGGTGCTGCTGCAGCAGCAGCAGCAGCAAGTAACCCTGCTGCTGCTGCTGCTGGCGGCTGCAGTTGCTGTTCAGATTTGGTTCCTTCCGGGGCTGACGACGAGTTGCTGCTGCTGCTGCTGCTGCTGTTGCTGCTTCCAGCAGCTGTCTGTACACTTCCTGCTGCTGCACCAACGCCTGTGCGGCCCCACAAAGGAAGCCCAAGAAGCAGCTGTTTTGTCTGCATCAATGGGCTACGAGCAGCAGCAGCAGCAGCAGCTGCTGCTGCTGCTGCGGTTGCTGCTGCTGTACTATTTGCCGTCCCAGGCGGTGTAATAGAGCTACTGCTGCTGCTGCTGCTGCTGTTGTTGCTGCTGCTGCTGCCAGCAGCTGAACCCCCACCACTCCAGGATGCTGTGTTCCCCCCTGAGAGCAACAGAGGGCCTGCTGCTGTTGCTGCTGTAGGTGCAGCAGCAGCAGCAGCAGCTAATGATATAGGTCCTTGTAGCTGTGGATTATCTGCTGCTGCTTGTGTTGCTGCTGCTGCTGCTGCTGCTGCGTTGTTTCTATGATTAGGTGTTAAACCGAGCTGCTGCAGCGCTGCCTTTGTTGCTTGCTGCTGCTGCTGGGTTGCTGCTGCTGCTACCGCTGCTGCTGCTGCTGCTGCTGCTGAGGGGACAGCATTCTGCTTAAGAGCAGCAGCACTGGCATTAAATGCAGCTAAATGAGAAGCAGTGAGGCCTGCTGGCAGCAAGATCTGCTGCTGCTGCTGCTGCTGCTGCTGCTGTCTCGAATGGTCTGCTGGAGTTGTTGCTGCAGCAGCTGCTGCTGCAGCTGCTGCTGCAGAGCTCTGCAGCAGCGGGGACAGACCCACAGGACCACCTGCTGCTGCTGCTGCTGCTGCAGCAGCAGCAGCAGGCAGCAAACCCTTCCTAGGGACACGAGCAGCAAACCGAGAAGCAGATCTCGTTAACCGCGTACTAGGGCGGAGACCCGAGCTGCTGCTGCTGCTGCTGCTGCTGTTAGCTGCGGCATCGGAGGCCTCAGACGCAGCAGCAGCAGCTGCAGCAGCTGCTGCTGCTGCATCTGCTTGCAGCTGAGAAAAGCCCCCAACTCCTGTTGCAGGTGCTGCTGCTGCTGCTGCTGCAGCAGCAGCAGCAACACCAAGCATAGTACCTCTTGCTCCCCGATGCCTTAGGCCTCTCCTGCTGCTGCTGCGTGTTGTTAGCTGCGCCTTAGCTAGCAGCTGTTCTTGCTGCTGCTGCAGCAGAAGGAGCTGCTGCTGCTGCTGCTGATGTTGCTGCTGCTGCTGCTGCAGCAAGGCTGCTGCATCTCCTGCTGTTGCTGCACCACCCCAAGGCAGCAAGTAATTATCTGCGTCATCTATTGTTGCTGATTGGTGTTGCTGCTGCTGCTGTTGCTGCTGCTGCTTCTGCTGCTGCTGCTGTTGCTCCTGCTGCTGCTCCTCGGATCCAAGAGGTTGTAAGGCAGGAGAGCTAGATTCTGTCTTCCTATCCACATTTGCTGCTGCTGCTGCTGCTGCTGCTGTTGCTGCTGCATCGGAAGCAGCAGCAGCTCTGCTGCTGCTGCTTTGCTGTTGCGGCGAAGCGCCTTGCGGCTGCGGTGCTGCAGCAGCAGCAGCAGCAGATGCTGTTGCTGCTGCTCCTGTTGCTGCTCCTGTTGTTGGTGTTGCAGCTGCTGCTGCTGCTGTTCCTCCTGCTGGTGTTGCTGCTGTTGCTGCTGTTGCTGCCTCATCAGTGTCTCCTGCCTTACGTCTCTTGTTGTCTCTTTGTCTCCGCTGCGCTGCTTCCTGCTGCTGCTGCTGCTGTCTCTCTCTTTCTTCTCTTTGCTGTTTCCTGCGCTGCAGCATGTCTTGATGCATCTGCTGCAGCAGCTGCTGCTGCTGCTGCCTATATGCCTGCAGCTCTTGCTGCTCCTCTTCTTTATCTGCTTCCCTTAATTCCTCAGCAGCAGCAGCAAGCAGCAAGTACCGCTGCTGCTGCACCTCCCCTAGCAGCGACAGCAGCTGCTGCCGCTGCTGCAGCTTTGCTGCTAGGTGTCTCTTTAGCCACCAACATCTTACCAGTCTCTCTGTCTCCGACTGCAGCACGAACCCTCCTCCTCCTCCTCCTCCTCCTGCTCCTGCTGCTGCTCGTGCTGCAGCAGCAGCAGCAGCTGGTCCTGCTGCACTAGCTGCAGATGCATGCTCACCCTCGTCACCTTCTGTTACATCTCTCTTGTCATCTGTTGCTGCTGCTGCTGCTGTTTCTTCATCTGCAGCAGCAGCAGCAGCAGTTGCTGCTGCTGCCGCTGCTGCTGCTGCTGCTGTGGGTACATCGGAATCTGTACCATCATCTGTTACAGTAACCTCACGAGAAATAGCATCTTGCTGCTGCTGCTGCTGCTGCTGCTGCTGTTGCTGCAGTTTGCATGCAGCCCTTGGTGACGGACTAGCGCGTTGTAGTGGTGTGCATGCAGCAGAATTATGATTGCTGCTGCTGTTGCTGCTGCTACTGCTACTGCTGCTGCTGCTGTTGCTGCTGTTGCTGATGGTGTTAAGATGCGTAGAAGAGAATGCCTGCGTGGTCTGTATACGGAGCTCCCTTGCATGCAGCAGCTGCTGCCGCCATTGCTGCTGCTGCTGCAGCACAAGACGACGGATAGAGGGGGCAATGCGAAGGAAGGAAGGGAAACGATCTTGAGGTACAAAGGGCCACCGCCTGCATACACGTTTCTTAGAAGTCGCCATCTGCTGCTGCTGCTGCTGCTGCTGTTGCTGCTGCTGCAGCTAGAGCAGCAACAGCTGCAGCAACTCCTTATGGTGCTGCTGATAGGCTTATGTTATAGGGATACAGGGATACACATGGAGGCAGCAGCAGCAACTTGCATGCACTTTAATACAGTTGGTGTATGGATATATAAAGGGGAAGGAGCTGCTGCTGTTGCTGTTGCTGCTGCTGCAGCTGCTGCTGCTGCTGCTGCAGCAGGAGCAGCAGCAGCCGACGTAGAGAAGACGAGCTGCTGCTGCTGCTGTTGCGTCTCTGCTGCTACTCTAATAGATTAACAATTGAGAAGTTAATTTGCTGCTGCAGTTGTTGCTGTAATATAGCAGCAGCAACAGCAGCAGCCGCAGCAGCAGCAGCAGCTGCTGCCGCTGCTCTCAGCCCCTGCTGTTGGCGCTGCAGCAGCAGCAGCAGCAGCAGCTAATACCTTTCCTCTCCCCTTGACTCTGCCCTTAATAACAAAAGCTACACTTGTTGCTTCCCATGATAAGGAAGAGGGTATCTGCTGCTGCTGCTGCTGCTGCTGTTGCTGCTGCTGCTGCCATAGCGAGCAGCAGCGGGGGCTGCATGCAACAGTAACAGCAGCGGCGGTGGTAGTCAGTAACAGCAGCAGCAGCAGCCACCTGCTGCTCTCCTGCATGCAGCAACAAGCTGTTTATTTATATTCTTTTTTATTTATTTATTAATAATAAATTAAATAATATAAATAATAATTAAATTAGCTGCCTATACACCCCATACTAAGAGGGTTTGTAGGCAACAACCCCAGCAGCAGCAGCAGCAGCAGGCGTCTGCTGCTGTCCTGCTACTGAGCGCATGCAAAGAGCAGCAAGAACTTTGGGGCTTTTTTTTCCTTATAATATATATATACACAATAAAAAAAAATATATTTAATTAAATAGATATGCATGCAGTAAATAATAAATATATTATTTATATATACCTGCCTATACACCTGAATATATACCTTGTCTTTTTCTTCCTTCTATTACCTTCTTCCCTC